GTTTTTCTACAACAATAATATTTTATTACGAAACCTCCACCAACTTCAATTTCTGACAATCGGTACAATTTTTTTTTTTTTTATCATAATAGTGCTACTAGGAACTATCATGGGGTAAAAGTTTCAAGATGGAATATGATTATTGAGAAATTAAACCAAATAGACTTCTCCTTTTTTTTTTGAAAAGAAAACAAATTTTAGAACGCAATAGTTTATGTTAGTGAGGCAATATTAGGATTCAAATTTGAAATGTTTGATAAAAAAGAAAAGAGAAAAGGAATTAATCCTGTGAAACTCTCTCAGATAAAATGTTTTACAGGATTTTTTGATTTTTAACTTAAGATCCTAAGCTAAGTCTTTGCATAATACTCCTCACCAATGGAGGTGGTCTTAGTGTGTTAGAAATATTATCGTGTGGGTGCTACGTATCATTGATGTTGTGTTAGTAATTAGGAATATAGTATATCATTAGGTTTCTCTCTAAGAAAATAAAATGTGGTTAAATTGCATGCGTCCAAATAAAAATAAAAATTAATATATTTTTTTTTAAACGTGTAAATCCTAATTATTCTAAGTTTCATATGCCACGCCAGCTTGTTAAGTTGTCTACGTACTTGTCTAGGAAGAGGAAAAGTTTTAATTCCGGTTAATGGTTGGGTGCATCCGAATCGAACCGGCACAAACCAAAAAATCGAAAGGAGATTTATAGTTGGGTCGGTGCGTGATAAAAGGAAATCAGACTTTTGAAAAAAAAAAAAAAAAGAAGGCGAGACTTGGTGGACCACGTCACGGAATCAATGCAGAAATAAAGAGAAAAAAGACAGTTTTAACCTCTAAAGCAAAGAAAAAAGGATAATAAATAGCTTCGTCGTGGTGGTCGTCCTCTGAAATCCCTAAAATCGGAGGAAAAAATATATTGATCCTAGGGTTATCGACTCATCTCAACCTCGCCATGGACATGGGTATGTTCAGTCAGCCACCTCCCGTCTACGGAGACTTGCAAGTAATCTTCCTCTCCTAATCCTTATGGCTCTCTCTCTCTCTCTCTCTGTTTATCAATTAATGGTTTCTGATTAGATCTTTTGTACTTTTTTAGGGGATGAACTTTTTTGCTTCTAATCCTGAGATGAAAGCCTTTTTTGAGAAACCAAGACGCAGGTAAATTGATGCTTTGATTTTTTCGAGATTTGTTTATGCGAAGATGTTTTCTTCATCATGTGTTGATTGATTGAATTATTATTATTGTAGTTGGGTTATTGACGTTGAGGGCTTCGACACTTCGGTTCCTGCGGATGAGATGGAGGAGGCGTTGATCAATCATTTCAAGTCATGTGGAGCAATCCTTAGGGCTTCTGTCCGGAGACATCCTGACAACGGCCTTGCTAATATCGTCATGGTCGGAGACGACGCTGATGAGAAGGTGATGCAACTTAATGGAACTGAATTGGGAGGAAAGAAACTTGTTGTTAAGGCCAGGCCGTATCCCAGAATGGATTATAGGCATCTTAATCTTCCTTTTGCCTCCTCATCATAAATTTGGATCGAGGTACAATGCAACCTGCTTTGTTTTTATCACTTGTTGGATACCATTGCAACCCCTTTCCTTTGGCTCTTTCTTTCTTTACCATGTTTATT